GCGAAAAATATGTTTGAACAAAGCTTCTAGAACAGTATAAGGAACATCATGCCGTAGACTACACATTTTTATATGACATGGGTGGAAAGTTAGTAAAACAAATACTTTAAATAAACTTTTTTAAATATCTTCGAGTATGACACTAAGTCAAACTTCAATAAAATCACTTTGAATAGTCAACCTTTGGTCACTAAATTGGTAGACATTAAGCTTTGCTATGAAAGTTGTTACAGCAGTTTTCGTTGTTTCAGTCTCGAGATACAAATATTATAAGCCGTAAATTACCTTAAAAACATAAAATTAGCTTGAAATTCAAATTAACATGACAAACAGTAATCACGGTTGACCCGGTGCATCTCGTACATTTCTGTTAAAATGAACAGGTCTAATATACATCCTGGGTATTTTTCTTTAATTTGTTTATGTAAAAGATTTATGAGAAATTCTAACTTTTGCAAAATTTTAAAGTCGGACACTTCAAAATTAACAAAAGTCATAGAACAACAACTATCAATATATTTCTGGTAACAATTTTGAAAGTCAAAAAACTAGTTTTCTGTGCAAAATTTTACAAAAAAAATAATAATAACAAAATTTACATTTTTTAGCAAAAGGTGTCGTTGCATGCTAAAAATTTGTCCCTGGCGTCATTTAGATTGGAAGTAACGTTTTCGAGTTATGATTTGTTGAAAACGATTTTTGGATTTTTTATTTTAAAATGGCCGGAATTTAGGTGAGATGTGAATTTTTGACCATAAGAAACAATTTTGCAAAGTTTCATCCAAATCTGAGAAGGTTGAATCAGAAAAGAAGTTTAGTTTTGCTATTTGGCCTGAAAATGGTCCATAATGATTTGATATATCACTCACTGTTGATCAAGTTTAGGTAGGACCTCGGCCTCGGAATGATGATTGTAGAATACGCATACAATTTTCATTGTGACTTTCTGACTATAATTATATAATTATATTTCTGTGGATTTCGCGTAAGTGTCTCTGCCGTGTAAGTGTTGGGTCCACCACTTTGGTTTTCACTCTTCATACAGCGATATTGTGAATTCATGTCGGAAACTCAAATTGATCTTGCTATTAAGTGGAACTGCATACAAGACAAGATCTTCGAAGGGATGGTGGCTACCTTACATACATACATTAAAGCAAAATGCAAACATTCAAGCATGTAAACTTTCTTTTCACTTAAACTGGCAACTTGTAAAAAATGTTGCTTTCAAAGACGGATGGTTGCATACCATGTTTGGAATATGGCATGAAATGTCTCATAACTTTACACGCTCTAAAATCTAAACTTTTACGATATATGACGCTCCATGTATGTGCATTATAGTACCAGAAATTTCGAACTGTGTTTTTATGACTCCAACAATTCCAAGATTTAATACCGATTCTAGTTCCGATACAGATTCATATTTCCTCAGTAGCCATCATTTTTACTATGGTTCTCCATTAAATTTCCAGACAATCTTTGGAACCATGTGAACTAGCATACAACTCATTGCATAAAGACTAACTTAAATTAAATTGGTATGCATAAAAAGACCTGTAATTTGTGATGCAATAAGTTTTAAAATCCAAGTCGCATTTTTTCCATTTTGCCCGCATTTGCTGGATGTCCGTTACTGCCCCGCCGCTTCATCGAAGTCGCTGCTTTGAAATTGCCCAGTATTTTTCGATTGGTCGAAATTCCGGGCAATTCGGAGGATACATTATCTTGGGACAAAATCGATCTTGTTGGCAGTATACCACTCCAGGCAGTATACCACTCCAGAACCACCTTGGAGTAGTGGCAGCTGACCAAATCGGTCCAAAAGATGACTTTGCCACTATGCTTGCGTATGAACGACAATACACGCTTTGTCAGTCATTCTTCGATGTAAACTTGGGATGTCATCGTCGAGGATGTGACGAATGGTTCCGTTTTCCGGCCACAACTGCAAATCGCTTGCCAAATCATGGCCTTCTTCGTGAACTTGTCGGCAAACACGAACTTGAATCTTTCCGGCACATCCTCACGACGAGTTTGACGTGTGTTTCGTCATCGTCAAAACACGGTCGTACAAGAGCCTTGCACGCTTTTTGGCCACGGAATTCTGCTTCATGTGTCAGTTCGGATGTTTACTGACTTTGTACGACTTGTATCCTTTCCTGGCAAGGATGTTCCGCACCGTTTGAAAGTTGGCGTTGTACCTTCTGGCCACAGCTCGGATCGAAAGACCGGGGTTGGCTTTAACGCATCTTAACACCTTGCTGCGCAGCTGACGGTCTCTGGTTCCTTTCTTTCGTAGGTCCATTGATTCCTTCCCACACTCAGGGTTTCCTTGTAGGTTTTAAGCACTCGACAAAATGTTGTTTTCGGCATCTTCAGCACTTCAGCCAGCTTGGAACCGGATCACTCTGGATTTTCCAGGTGTTTGCACACAATATTTTTTCTTCTTTCGAGTTCCATTTGACGTTATTTCTGAACGCAATCGACTACTTTGATCAAACTTGCACCAGTTGTTCTCTATAGAAGTGTAAACAAACAACTGTCAAAGATTTTCGGTTCCCAACACTAGCGGCGTGCTAGCGGCACCGAGGAGCGTACCAATTTCCTTTTAGTCAGCTTTTTCTTCTTCAAATTTCAGCCACTTTGCTAGTCGAACAAATTTATTCTATCTAAATGTCGTACACCGTAAGGCATACATAAAATTGGAAAAAGCACAATACCAAAAGTGATTCGCTTTCATCCGGCTCGCCATACATTTACGCGTCCTCGAAAACGAAAACGAAAGCTCGTTCGTTTCACCTTGAAAAAATATCCTCCCACAAAACCACATCCGACTTCCCATTGATTGAGGTTAAGCCCGCAGTCAAACGCCTTTCTCCAGATGCTGGACTCTGTGGAGCACCGTCGGCTGTACAGTGCAAAAGAAAACTTGCATTACAACTCCGCCAGGCCACTTGCAGAACCGGCAAGCGAGCAATGCATAGATGGAAATTACAGATCGAACAACTGGTCTTGACTGACTGCTGCGGTCCATATCTTCTCGGTAAATCCACACACATGCACCCGTGCGCGGTACACCCGCTGGTCCCGGGAATGTTGTTGTTACTGTCCAGCTACAGGTTGCAACAACTTCCACTACCCAGTATACCTGGGAGGTACTGCGTTGTTTTCTGGGTCTCGCCTCCGCTGCTTGGAGCCAGAGGTTGAAACTGTTGACGTTTTTTACGACACTCGCTTCGTTGTCATGCGCGACAGTCTGTTTTTATTCGTACTTTCATGCTCTACCGTCGTCTCTCTCACACAACACAACCGGTAGAATAACATTCGAGCAAAAAGAAAATGATCAAATAACTATAATATGATATGAGTGATTTTGTTCTAATTCCTCAGTTTGGTGTAAGTTAAACCATTTCTGATCAGAAATGTTATTCCTAGGACACCATTGCTTGATTTTTTCAGAATTCACACAAGCACAACATCAGCAGCTCTCACAATGAGAGAAACTAAAATACATACATTCGTGACGGTCTTCGGCGACAGTGTCGTATGACAGAGCCTATCAAATGACATTTGAGTTTGGTACTGTACTATGATAGCTTGTTTTGCAAGTGTCGGAGGCAAAGGCAGTCGATTATCACAGAAAATGTGTCGACTACCGTGACCGCTTACAAGACTGCTTGGAGCAGATGTTTCCTTCCGTGCTTCGCGTTATTGATACTGCTCTGGGTCGCAACAAACTACCCGTAGCGCATGCCACTTTCTCGTCGCTGCGCGTATTATTTGCATTATAACCGCAACAATTAAATCCGATGAGGGTACCAACTACAAACCAACTTGATGTGGCATATCGCTGATGGGTTCCAATCAGCAGTGGCAGCATCAGTTAGTACCGCGTGTGTGTGGTTTCTGAAAACGAAACCACCGAGAAGACCTAATGTCAAAAATACTGCCACACTGTAGGGGGAAAAGGGAAATTTCTCCGTTCTATTTACGGTAATAGATTTATAATCGACTGCAAACGTGCTACAGGTGGCAGGTTTGCGATTTTGAGATCGGAAGTGGTTGGAAGGTTGTTGACTGAGATTTGCGTGGAATTAGTTTTGAGGTTTCCGGCACTTTATTTTCTATCGAGTGTAATCCTCACTTTGCATGTATATGAAGCTACTTCATCTGCACTTGAGGAAATCCCAGAAAAACATCTTTTTTGCATCTTTCAACCTATACCATCTTCAAACTGGAACCACGTGCTTACAGCGTGCTTCCCCAATCTGGAATGCAATCCATTAAGTAATATTATCTGGGTGGTTTGCATAATTGTATAACAATTAGGAATCAATTTTCTTAAGCAGATCGCGAATTGACGCACTCATTGGCTGACCCATTTCTATAAATAAAGATCCGCATTTCAACCCGGCGGTCAGTGCAGTCCAAACAATTTCCCGTTGATTTCGTTCGAGCTAACAATTATAACGCTTCCACGCAAAAAATCGATAATACCCTAGTTTCGGCTGCGATACGAAACGAGTAAAATGCTATAAAAAACAATCATTATTTGGTTCGATTACTTTTTGCAACGATTCATCGTCATCATTCATCATATCCATCATCATCATCGTCGTGCCATACAGAAAGTGTAAGTGCGAATCGAACACTCGCAGTAGTCAGGGCACGCGAACGAAGAAAATCCGGAGCCTCCGACAGCGGGAGCCCAAAGATCGTGATTATGCGCAATTATCACCGTAACTGGAGCCTGTAAAGAACCTTTGTATGCTTGCCAAGTGCCCTTTTGTGTGTATGAACGATCATCGAACTGAATTCAACCACGTACCTACCTACCATCAGTTCAGCATCTCAAAGCGGAGCGAAATCGAAAACAGAAAACATCCTACTAGCTTCGATGCACAATGCGTCTTGTACCGACTTCTGTTCGCAGTTTGTAATTTGCTAATGGTTTGTGCTTTTTCTACCACCCACCTCCGTGCAAATTGTGTACTTAGGTAGCTGATTGTGCGTGTTCCGGGAGTGAGAACTAACTTTGGTGCTACGATCTATTGGATGAGCAACTGACGGGAGCTGCGGAAAACACAGCGTGACTGCTGATAATTTGAAGGCAGAAAATGAAACTGCCAAGCTCCAGAATGGTACAGTGCCGGTACCCCCAGCTGCTGGCGATAGCGTTTGTGGCGGTAAGTAGCTAATTTTCAATGATTACAATGATACTTTATCGGGAATTACTAGTTCTGGTCAGGGTGTGCACGTGAGACTTCAATGCCTTTTAAGAAACGAACCGCTGTATGATGCCGAAGTGAGTCGGAAGCTAGAATTTCTGTACTATCAAGAACCACAGGTTATAGGAATTAATTAGATTATACTGCATCATAGGGATCACACTAGGGTGGTTCGAATTGCAAAAATGTTTCTTAACCCTCCGTGCAGTTCTGTTGAAAAAAACAAGAATGTAAATAGCGTAGGTGTTCCAGTGGTGTACCTATAGTTGCGGTATGAGGGCTGTGCTAGAATAGTGAGGAAATCCCGGATAAGATTATTTTGCATCGGTAGCTTTCCTACAATAAAACATATTTGCATGTTTCAAACTTAAAATTTTCCCAAAAAATGGTGGAAAATAATTAAAATTTCCACTAAAAAATGAGAATGAACAGATCGGGCCAGTGAAGTTTAGTTGAAACTGATTTATTTCATACAATGGGTTAAGTCGTGGTCCGCCGTGCGGCACAACTTAGTCATGATATTGAAACATGACCGTTGGACGGCTGCCACATCGATTTTCCGGATGCAGCTTTTGATCCTGTTGATGCGATGCTTGGTGTCCTTGGCCTTCCACTTATCCTTGTATACCATGGAGCTCATTAGACCAACAAAATTATCGATAGGACGGCACTGCAGCAGATTTCACGGATTCCAGTATTTTGGCTTCCGCCGTACTTCCGAGTCATCAAGCGGCATTGGGATCTCTCGGTTTGGATTTGCTCGTCAGCAGCAATTCCAGGTCATTTTCAGAAAAATCTGGAGAAATCTGGAATGCTCCAAAAATGCAAACATAATGCTATTGAAATCAAAATAGGTCAGTATGATCATCTGGAATTTATGTTTAAATAAATTATATATAGCAAATAACTTGTTAGCATTGCTAGAATCATCCAAAAGTTAAAAAGTATTGACACGATGTGCCCAAAAAGTTCAAATATCTATTACGCAGCATTAAATATGGTTAGAATTGTTTTTAAACTGTAACCTTTTTTTTAAAGAATGAGAAGCAAAGATTCAAGGAAATTTGATAGGATGGATTTTTTGAACTAATAGTCGATGTAGTCCTTACCGAAGTCTTTACTATTTGATGCAGTACCAGAATCTAAAGATTTTATTAGTTCTAATATTACTCTGATGTTGATCAGATTTATAGTTTAATTCTTGACATCATACAACACAACACCCAGCAGACCAATAGGCAATTTTATTTTGAAGCAAAATTCACCGGTCTGAAGTGGGAATCAAAGCCTAACATCGTGGAACTCACACACAGTTTTCCTAAAATACGGGTAACTCAACTATTTGCATGACCATTATGCTAAAGAATAATTTTATTATATTACTAAAATGAAAGTCTGATAGCTTCATTTTTGAAGTCTCAGGATCTTGCAATGGAAATTCTAAATTCAGGAATTTATATTTTTCCTCCGTCCCAGATAATGAATTTCTTGTTAGTCTGAATTGACTTGGAACTCTTCACATGATATCTTCGCCTTCTTTTTTAGTTCAATCCGAATCATCCTAGAATTCCATCATATTTCTTTTCTATATTCCCCTAAAACAATCTTGAAAATATCTAAACTTTTCCAGTAACATTCTAAGAGTGCTTAGCATTACCTCTTGTAATCTCTTATAAATCACTCTCCAATTCCACAACTCCCTCAAACTGGTAATAATTCCCAAGAATTGGCTCAATTTTGTGTCCATTTTTCTCTGTGAAATTCTTAAAATACTCTTAACAATTTCGTTGGTACACTCTTCAGAATGACCGTTACACTTTTCTCAGACTTATCCGATAATTCCCCTTTGAACTGCTTTCAAAATGGTTTTGAAAGTTTCCCAGAAATTGTCCTTAATTTTTTATTAAAATTAATCTCCATGGAAACATTGGACAGAATTCCTTTCAAATTATTCTCACGATTCGTATCAGCATACTCCTTAAGTTTCATCATAAGAATTTTCAATGATTTCTCTTCCGGATTGTATTTCCTTTATTGACAAAATCTCCATGCAATTGTCATCAGAGTTGACAAGACAATTGACACCGTCTTCAACCAGAGGTTGCACAGACTGGATTTTTGACACTAGAAAACGGACAACACACCGCACCCATTAGACCAGTAGGGAAATTTTCAGGTTGCCAAAATTTGCACCGACTGGAGTGGGAAGCGAACCCTCACTTCGTGGCACTCACAATACGCCTAAATGATGGGTGTCGCCGCACAATTTCACAAAGAATTCGCCTCACACTAAACTGTAAACTATTTTCAGAATTACCTTAAAATTCCAATAATGTCCAACGTTGATGGCCTTTAACAATTAAAGAAGCAAGTTTGACTTTTAGAGGGTTTAGAGAGTAAATCAATTGCAGTGATATTTTTGAAGCAACATGTTTAAAAAATCTGGGAAAATCTGGAATATATTTAAAAAATCTGGAAATATACGTGATATGTCTGTGTATCTGGCAAGACGACTAACATTCTGGAAAATCCAGATAAATCGGGAATACTGGCAACGCTGCTCGTTAGTGTACTCTGGGGATCTTATTTTCTTTCTACACACTATTCCTTCCTTCCTTAGAGACTTGCAGATGTGTGACATCGAATAACGGAACTTTATGGATACTTCCCGATGACTTAGCGAATCCTTGCTGTTGAACATGTTTTGTAGCGAGTGGAGGGTCTTCCTATTCATAATCTTCCGTGTTACTACCATGCATGCCATGCTACGGTATACGGTGGATACCGGAACATTTTCCCTTTTAAAATGGTCCACCGTGTTCTTCCTGTTTCGATGGCATGCTGAACATAACTGAAAATGTTAGAGTAAAATAAAGTGTGTTACAATTTAATGGACACTGTAAGGATTCATTCACCTAAGGTGACATCTCTCTGCGAACGTTTTGTTCTGTTAGAAAAGTATTGGAATCATTCTTATTTTTAGTGGACCCCCGTTATAGTTGCGGTTGTGTCCCTATAATAGTGTAACTCATAAGAAACCAACGCATTCCCCTATAATAGGAACCAAAGTTAGCAAGTATCACCACTATTGGATCAGTTTTCCTATTAATGGAGGACTACTTTTCTAAAAATTGCAATTTCAAAAAAATGTAATATTTTTCTACCATAATAGAGGTTGAATGCTATACTTTGACGTTTACAAATTTAATGTACATCGTATATTTATGTTTTTATAAATAAATTTCCTTAGTTCCTCCAGACCCTATTAAATTAATTGAACAATTGAACTCAGTTCAACGTAACATAAATGTATAAGCTATGTTTTGGAAACAAGGTGCACTTTCACCATAGTAAAATTAAAGCAGTAGATTTGAAAAGTAAAGAGAGGGGGATGACTCATCTAAATCTCAATCCTAAGAGGTCAGAAAATCTTATGCTAGCGAATCTTTTTTTTTATTTCACGCTTTTAAATTCATCTTCTTGTATCGCGTTCTATCTTTTTGTAGGAAATCTACAGAACCTTCATCAATCTTCTTTCTATCTACTCATCGTGCGTGTATCTAACGACAGGAAAGCAAAATCTTTCCTACATTTTCAACAGAGTCGCTCCCCTCGGCAAGAACAGCCAATTCCTAATATATCAAAAAGTTGCTGTGCTTGGGTCAATGACATGTCACAGTAGTGTGCGTCATTTATAAAGAAAGTTTAACCGCCTAATGTAATAACCGCCTTATTTAAAAGATAGGTTAGGTTTATTTGGGAGGCTTTCATTCTGGGGCTATTTCGCCACCGGTTCTTGCTTATGTAAATTAAGCATAAAACCGAGTGTGATGTCAACGGTGTCACTTGATTACTACGTTATCAGCATTTATCCTGGATCAATTCAACATGTTTGTATCCAAAATCTTAAAAATAATGTATGTATGTTTTAACTACTTTGATAATTCGCTACAAACTCTTTACAGAATTTCTTTGAAATGTTCTCAAGAATTTTCATAAACTAACTACTATTTACAACAGTGTTTTTAAGCCGGTGGGCAATGAAACTTTACTTGCCTTAGTGAGTGGTAGCTAGCTTTTTGGAGGGGAATGGAACTGAAAGGTTAAACACCACTGATTTGTATGGAACTTTTCTGAATTAAAAAAAAAATCCTTCTAATGTCCCTTTGATTTTTTTCTTGCATAGGTAGGCTAAGTTAGTAAGTTTTTGGCCCTGGAGGTTCCCTTATTGGCCCTATCTTAATTTTCATTATTTTTCATTCTTTTTCAAATTTGTTGGAAAGTACATAGATTTAGGCTTATATCTACACGAAAAATACCATGGAGTATTTTCAGCCCAAAACGCAATGCGGTTGGACCTGAGTGTTTCCGAATTGAATAAAATATTACTCATATGTTCAGTGCTACCAATGGTTGCATTTTTCATTTATTTGTGATTTTTTTCTTCACAGTATGAAAAGGGCGTATTAAAAAAATTGATTATTTTTATCAATAAATAATAACATGAAAACTATTGATCTGATCGAAATGACATCTTAGAAGAAGTTGTAGGTAGTTTACACTGAAAGAAAAATTAGTAAATTAATATTAAAATAAACTTAACATGTTGATTATTTCAAAATAAACCACCATTCGATATTTATATTTTTCATCACTGAAGGATGTCCTAAAATTTGGTAAAGAGTGTACCCAGACAACCAGAAGTCGTATAACAAAGTACACACAGTATCGTAAATTGCTTAAGTTTAAGTCAAAATCACATATAAGAATGGCATACCTCGCATTATGTTTGAGTTAAATCGCATAGAATACAAATTTCCGATTCATATGCAATGACTCATTTGTCCGTTTTCCAAGGCGAACCAGCCAATGGCTGAAAGCCTTGTAAATAAAGGAAAAAAAAAAAAAAAAAAATCATTTGTCCGTCGTACTGTATCACAAATTAATTCGGATTTCAT